TGAAAATTAACAAAGGGCAATAACTCAAAAAATAAGAACTGCAGAGTACCGGTCCTTGTGCACTGCACTTCGGGTTATTGAAAGAAGCATGCATACCAAGTTTGAAGTCAATCAGACTTATAGTGACTGAGTTATGCTCCGGACAAGCTTTAGCGGACGCCGACGCCGACACCGACAACGACGCCGACACAGACGCCGCCGCCGCCGACACCGCCGACAAAAGTAACCCCTATATGTCACCTTTTCAAGGCGACACAAAAAGTGTACAAAAGTCATTCTTACATAAATTTACCTCTTGCCTTTAAAGAGTATGACATGTAGTTCAAAGTTTCTTGGTAAATGCACTTTAACTTTTTAACAAGAAATGTCGAACGACACATATGCCCCCTCCCCCATTTCCATAGCTTGACTTACATTATTGGTAATTTAGTTAGAGATACTTGCCATAAATAGGTACCTGGAAGTGTTCAATTATGGAAAAAAGAAAAATGATGAAGACTTTGTGATAAATAGTTTTGAAGATAATGAGACATTTAAGGCCCCTGTGACCTAGACCATTGACCCAGTGACACAAAATCAATAGGGGTCATGTACTAGTTATGAAGAGGAGGACCCCCGATAATGTTGTTATAACTTTTGGCCCAACCCTTTTGTATATTTACATTAATGTATTTATGTATAATTGTGAAAATTTATGTATGTATGTACATATATACAATTATGAGCTTTCAAGATAATAAGCTGAAACCATACTAACATTCAAGAATCCTGTGACCTTGACCTTTGACTTAGTGACCCAAAAATCTATAGGGGTCTTTTCATAGTTATGACCAATCAGTATGAGAAATATGAAGACTTTGTGATAAATAGTTTTCAAGATTATGAGCGGAAACCATTCGGACATTTAAGGCCCCTGTAACCTTGACCTTTGATCTAGTGACCCCAAAAGCAATATGGACCATCTGTCGGTTACGACCAATTACCATGAAATATGAAGACTTTGTGATATCTTTCAAGATAATGAGCTGAAATCATATTACCATTCAAAGACCCTGTGATCTTGATCTTTGACCTAGTGACCCTAAAATCAATAGATGTCATTTACTATCTATGACCAATACATATGTGAATTATGTAGACTTTGTGATGAAAACTTTGCAAGAAAATCAGCAGAAACCATTTCGACATTTAAGGCCCCTGTGACCTTTGACCCCAAAATCAACAGGGGTCATCCACTAGTTATGACCAATCAATATGTGAAATATGAAGACTTTGTGATGAATACCTTTCAAGATAATCAGCGGAAACCATTCAGACATTTGAAGCCCTTGTGACATTGACCTTTGACCTAGTGACCCTAAAATCAATAGGGGTCATCTACTATATATGACCAATCAATATGTGAAATATGAAGACTTTGTGATAAATAGTTTTCAAGATAATAAGCGGACATCATATTACAATTCAAGGCCCCTGTGACCTTTGACCTAGTGACACCAAAATCAAAGAGGTCACCTACTAGTTATGACCAATCAATATGTAAAATATGAAGACTTTGTGATGAATACTTATCAAGATAATCAGCGGAAACCATTTGACATTTAAGGCCCCTGCGACCTTGCCCTTTGACCTAGTGACCCCAAAATTAATAGGGGTCATCTACCAATTATGACCAATCACCATGTGAAATTTGACGACTTCTTCAAAAGGGGGCATAAAAAGTCAGTTTAATGCTCCAATGGATCTTAAACTTTGACCTTATTACTTGAAAATTGGTTTGGCAGTAAGTACTCATCAGGGTACATCTAAGCAAAACATTTGAAGTTTCTATGTCTATGCACTTTGATTTAATTTTATGTTTTGTTTTAAGGTGCTAGTGATCTTAGACCTAAGAATGGGCGTGGCAGACAGCGTTCCTAAAGACAAAGTATCAAGTTCCTAAGTCAATGCACTGTGATCCTCATTTTTGTGTTCAATAGAAAAAAATACGAGTATCTCTCTCCTATAGTATTGCATTACCTTTTTATGCCCCCCTTCGAAGAAGAGGGGGTATATTGTTTTGCTAATGTCGGTCTGTCTGTCGGTCTGTCCGTAGGTAGACCACATGGTTTCCGCTGATTATTTTGAAAAGTATTCATCACAAAGTCTTCATATTTCACATATAGATTGGTCATAACTAGTAGATGGCGCCTATTGATTTCGAAGTCATTAGGAGAAAGTCACAGGGGCCTTAAATGTCAAAATGGTTTCCTCTGATTATCTTGAAAAGTATTTATCACAAATATGTCATACTTCAAAAAGTGATTGGTCATAACTAGTAGATGAACCCTATAGATTTTGGGGTCACTAGGTCGAAAGTCAAAGTCAAAGGGGCATTAAATGTAAGAATGATTTCCACTGATTATCTTCAAAATTATTCACCACAAAGTCTTCATATTTCACATATAGATTGGTCGTAACTAGTAGAAGACCCCTATTGATTTATGGGTCACTAGGTCAAAGGTCACAGGGGCCTTAAATGTCAAAATGGTTTCTGCAGATTACCTTGCAAAGCATTCATCACAAAGTTGTAATACTTCACAAAATGATTCGTCATAACTAGTAGATGACTTCTAATGATTTTGGGGTCACTAGGTCAAAGGTCAAGGTCACAGGGGCCTTAAATGTTAAAATGTTTCCGCTGATAATCTTGCAAAGTATTCATCACAAATTCGTCCTATTTCGCATAGTGATTGGTCATAAATAGAAGATGACCCCTACTGATTTTACGGTCACAAGGTCAAAAGTCAAGGTCACAGGGGCTTAAATCATGTCAAAATGGTTTCTGCTGATTAACTTAAAAAGTATTGATCACAAAGTCGTCATATTTCACGTAGTGATTGGTTATATCTGGTAGATGACCCTTCAGATTTTGGGGTCACTAGGTCAAAGGTCAAGGTCACAGGGGCCTTAAATGTCAGAATGGTTTCCACTGATTATCTTGAAACAATGTCTACATATTTTACACATAGATTGGTCATAACTAGTAGATGACCAATATTAATTTTTTGGTCACTAGGTCAAAGGTCAAGGTCACAGGGGCCTTGAATGGTAATTTGATTTCCGCTTATTATCTTTGTTACTATTTACCACAAACTCTTCATATTTCACATATTGATTGGTCATAACTAGTAGATAACCCATATTGATTTTAGGGTCACAAGGTCAAGGTCACAGGGGCCTTAAATGTCTGAATGGTTTCCGCTGATTTATCATGAAAAGTATTCATCACAAAGTCTACATATTTCACATATTGATTGGTCAAAACTAGTAGATGACCCCTATTGATTTTAGGTCACTAGGTCAAAGTCACAGGGGCCTTAAATGTCAGAATGGTTTCCGCTACTTATCTTGGTTACAATTCATCACAGTCTTCATATTTCACATATTGATTGGTCATAAGTAGTAGATGACCCTTATCGATTTAGGGGTCACTAGGCAAAAGGTCAAGGTCACTGAGGCCTTGAATGTTAATATGATTTCGGCTTATTATCTTGGTTACTATTTATCACAAAGTCTTCATATTTCACTATTGATAGGTCTTACCTATTGATTTTGGGGTCCCCATGTCAAAGGTCAAGGTAACAGGGTCTTTGAATGGTAGAGGATTTCAGCTCATCATCTTGAAGGATAATTTTCACAAAGTCTTCATATTTCACATAGTGATTGGTCATAACCAACAGATGATCCGTATTGCTTTTGGGGTGACTAGATCACAGGGGCCTTAAATGTCAGAATAGTTTCCGCTTATTATCTTGAAAACTATGCATCACAAAGTCTTCATATTTCTAATATTGATTGGTCATTACTACTAAGTGACCTCTATAGATTTTGTGGTCACTAGGTCGAAGGTCACAGGGGCCTTAAATGTCTTATTATCTTCACAAGAGGGTCATGGTGGCCCTGAGATCGCTCACCTGTATATAGGCCCCCCGGAGCAGGGCCAGCTTAAACCCCAGGGCTTTTATTTGAACAAACTTTGAAGACACCCATTAGAAGATGTTACATGAGTTTTTACTACACATATATAATGAAAAACAATAATTTGCCCCCTGCCTCTTCCACCTCCCTCCCCCCCCCCCCCCCCCCGGCAGGGCCAATTTTAACCCAAGGGCTTTTATTTGAACAAACTTGGTAGACACCCATAAGATGTTTCATGCTAAAACATCTAAGCTATAGTTCATTGGATTTTTTCAAAGAAGATTTTTAAGTTTTTGCTATACACATATAAGGAAAATCAATGACCCCCGGGGCGGGGCCAATTTTGACCCCAGGGCTTTTATTTGAACAAACTTGGTAGACACTTATTAGAAGATGTTTCATGCTAAATATCTTAGCTCTAGCTCTTTGGGTTCTTTAAAAGAAGATTTTTAAAGTTGTTTTCTTCCGGTTGCCATGGCAACCAGAGTTCTGCATGGAATTAAATTCTTTGAACAATTTTTAAAGGTGACCACCAAAGGAACATTCCTGTAAAGTTTGGATGAAATTGGCTTAGTGGTTTATGAGGAGGTGTCATTTAAAGTAAAAGTTTACGGACGGACGCCGGACGGACGGACGCCGGACGAAAAGCAATCACAAAAGCTCACCCTGTCACTTTGTGACAGGTGAGCTAAAAACAAATTCATCACAAAGTCTTTATCATTTTTCTTTTTTCAATAATTGAATACTTCAATGTACCCATTTATGGCAAGTTTCTCTAACAAAATTACCAATAATCCGAGTCAAGATTTGGTAAGGGGGCATATGTGTTGTTCGACATTTCTTGTTTACTTGTTGATTTTTTGTAATGCTTTTTTTATCAAAGTTTAAGAGATTTCAATATCGAACTCAAAAATCTGAGCTGGCAACATTATAGGGCCTGGTCAGTCTCTAGTGTTTATTTACTTACACAGTAAGAAAAAAAATAACTAATTAACAAACCAATAATTGTCAACTGTATTAACTTTTAACTATTATGTTCAATGTCACTTAAAAAAATACATATTTATTAAAATCAAATTTTACCACAAAACAACATATATACGTTTCTATCAGTTACCATTCTACTGCATTTTAATTTGTTAATATCAACTAAGATTTCTTTCTCCAATTGGACAGCATTCTTCACATAGATATTTAGTAATTAAACTACCATATGTTTGTCTTGAAACAGATTACCCTAGACTTTTAGGAAGTGTGAATTTCTATTGTCTGTTTTCGTTCACTAATGATATTTTCAACTGCTAGAAATTTGGAAATTTGTCAGGCATTTAACTGGTTATGTAGATACTGTTTCAGTCTGTTCAGTGTCACTACTATCTATTTCTGATGCGACATTTCCACACTGAGCAACATCAGCACTGAATGGGTATATGCCCTCTTTTTCAAATGCACTACATATATTATTATGCGTAAATGCCTTTGCATATGGTTTTGATGTTAATCTAGCCACATCATACCTTGTTACATCAACACCAGGATTTTTGTGCACATATGTCTTACATTCCTTGAAATAGTAAGTCTTCATAGAACCAAAGATCTCCTGTAGGGGTTGATCCAGGTGAGAACAATGGTGTGGTAGGACAAAGAGTATAATGTTGTGTTCCTTGGCCCAATTAGATAGGGTCAGTGATAAATGTAACTTGTGTCCATCATACAGTACTAGAATTTTAGGCCTCTCTGACTCATTACAAAGTGTAGTATGCTTTGCAAAATGACCTGTTATGTAGTCTTCAAACAAACCCCGAACAAAACCACTCTCAGACATATCCCCATCTGCATCTGGAGCAGCACCATCTAAAAGATTTCCAAACCATCGCTTCCCTGGGAAAATGTAGAATGGTGGAATGTGATTTCCATTTGCATTTGCTGAACCTATTACAGTCACTGTCTTTGACTTTTTAGAATTAACAGATTTACTTTTGGTAACTTCAGCATATGCAATTTCACAAGGTTTATATTCTGCTGAAATTTCACATTCACCAATATAATAAATTCTCTCTGGTGAATTCATCAAATCATTTTCAATTAAAACATTCTGAAGCTCACTGAAATAGCTCCTTAAAGTTTCTTCAGATGCACACTTGGCTCGTTTCTGTACATTCACAAAGTCCAGTACATCCCATCTTTTGATGAATGAGTAAACCCATCCTTGACTTAGTCCTGCCTTTGCCCTGACAGATTTTCCTATTGATCGTGCATAAATGGCAGCAATATCCTGTATTTCAGTTATACAGTAGCAATAACCAATTGTTGACATATAAACAAGATAGTCAACCAATGACTTCTCCTCTTCCTCAGTAAAAAGTCGCGCTGCTCCACGGGAACAATCTACAGAAACCTTGTTTCTGGTTCTATCTCTAAGGGTGGATTCTGGTACATTGAAGATTTTGGAGGCTTTGTACACTGACATGCCAGAGAGTGTAGCCTCATAAGCCTTTTTTAGGTTTTCTCTATCATAGGGCTTCTTAACAGTTTTGAGCTTCTGTAAAATATATAAAAAAGAAATATCAAATAATGCAAACAATGGATATACAGGAATCATTAAATACGTAGATTGACAAAAATTAGTTTATGTATATCTAGAAAAACTATCTTTAAATATTTACAAAACAATTAGTATAACTATGCCCTAGCTTAGTGCAATTAAACATTTTGTAACTATGCCCTAGCTTAGTGCAATTATACATTTTGTAATTTAACATTTTCACCCATCTAACTGGTAATTCGCTCCACTTAATCTTCAAATTAAATTAGAAATATATGACATGTGTCCATAGCAATATGGTCCCATTTTATCTCCTGTCATAGTGAGATATTGATATACATGTAATTATGCAATATATATTTTACAAAATTAACATATTTTATAAATATAAGTCACACACATTATGTGACATATATACACAAATAACAACATAATAATAACAGAATCATAATCAGAAGTTTCACAAACTGTAGTCTGTATGACTGAGAAAACTCTTGTTCTTAATTATACAAGTAGTTTACGTTTCACTAAAATCAATAGGCATCTCTTACATGGGCATTCCCTTTACAACGTTTCATAAACTTAAAGCTTATTTCTTTTTAAGTGCCCTGATGAAGGTCTGTATGTATCAATGAATTAGTAACGATTCGCCACACTAACAATTCGCCACATAACGATTCGCCACAGAGTAATAACGAATGCCACAGTTAAATAACGATTCGCCACAGTATGATTATAGATCTAACAATGATTTTTTATTTAGTTATCAACAAAGTTTTTCCTTTTGTTTTAATAATTTGACAATGACAATAATTTGATAATGTTTCTTAATACAAGTAACATGAACTTAAAGTCTCCATCGCCGATTTTCAATTTATCAAAGTAACATTATTACAGAAGTACATTTACAAGAAAGTAATTATATGTTGAAATAAATATTGAATTAATCATAAACATATATTTCAATTAATATTTATATATATAAATATATATTTCATATATTATATATATGTCAAATATTAAAAAAAAAATATTGCAAAAACCAGAGACATAGATAACAATGTTATCTATGTCTCTGCAAAAACATGATTGTGATCATTAGGAAAATTGATTTACGATAATTGATTAAAGAACGCATATCTAAAACATTTGTCACACCTTTAATTTTAATAAGCCAATCATCTTAAGCTTGTTGTAGAAATATTTAATTGAAGCCGAAATAATCCTTTAATTATCTGACAATGTGAGCAGATTTCAATATAATGCGGCAATTAAGCTTACATGTATTTATGTAAATTTTGTAATAAAATATGTTAGTTATATAAATGTGTATAAATTAGTAGAGTTACTACAATATGTTATGTTATGTTAAAAAAAAATTCCATCAACAATTTGAAAACAGGTGTGAAAAAGTTTGTATTTGAACACATGGCGAATCGTTATTTAACTATGGCGAATCGTTATTACTCTGTGTCGAATCGTTATGTGGCGAATCGTTAGTGTGGCGAATCGTTACATTACCATATCAATTAATGTTAAAAACTGAAACTAGTTGATCTAATAAAACATTTTGTCAGTCTTACCCCAGTTTTGATGTGTTGTTCCTTCTCTTGTTTATTTTCCTGTAAAAAAATAATAATGTAAAATATTTCAATACATATCGCCTCCATGTATCTGGAAAAATTGACTGATTTCTTTTCAGGAAATATAAAAAAAAAAATAATATAACAAAAGAATTATAAACAATAAATTTCACAATTCTATCACTGATTAAACTCTAGTTCTTAATAAGACATGAATTTCACATTTATCTTGACCTAATGACATCAATATTAAATATTTAACATGTCCCTAAAATGTCTAATAATATTTGACTAAATTTTAAAGGGCGAATAGTTTGAGGGTCGAATATATATCGAGGCGAATTGTTTGCAATTCTACAAACTTTCACAGACTACTTAACATGCTATAAGGAGATTTTGAATGTAATTTTGAAATAAAAATCTTTTTTAAAGAAAAGATAGAAAGTAACTCACCAAGTTTTCAGTCATAATGGTGTTGTTTTTTTTTCGATCGGAGACCAGGGTCTTTCAAATAGAAAGACCCTGCGGAGACACACAACGAGCTAGTATCCGCATCGATAACGATCCGTCCCGCTGACGATTCGCCCTATAACATCTGATGATTCGACCCAATTTTGAATAGAATAGAATAGAATAATGTTTTATTACCAATCATGGGCCTTCTCAGGCATACAATTACATAAAATATCAGCACATTAAATGTACATAAACAAAACAATAAAAAGATAACATAAGCTAATTCTGATTTGATAACACAATTAACAAAGGATTGGTGACAATTTGGTGACGCTTCGCCCCACTACAAATTAATATTAAATTTTATCAAAAAACATTCTTTAAATAAATAAAATCGAGAACTAGTAAGATTAAATGCATGATTTTGTATATTTGTGTCAAAAAATGTTTTCCAGATAAGCCAAATTTTATTTCAAGCAGGGTCTTTGACCCTGTTTTGACCCTGTTTCAAAAAAATTAAACTCGAAGATTTTAAGAAAAGTAAAAAGATTAAAGATCCTGTATGTTTTGATCAAAGTGATCAAATCAATCATCAAATCAAAGATCAATTAGTAATTTACTTATTATGCACAATTTAACAGTGACTGTGTAGTACTTATCACAATATTTCTAATGCGTGACCATGCAGGGTCTTTCAAATGAATTTGAAAGACCCTGGTGTGACTAACGATGGAAGGACTATTTTTACATGTTTGACATTTTTTTTTATTTCAAATTGATTGTTATTGCTGTTTGCAATGTGTCCATTATTGCCTTTGTTCAAGTTAAAAGTGAAATAGAAGACATGATAAATGTTCCTCCGGAAGAATGAGTATTTGCAGCTATCGGTGGTTGTTAAATTCATGAGAAAAAATAGGAATGAGAATTTAAAGTTGGTTCTCTAACTGACTGAATGGGAATTTATTACCTTAATTTGCAAGATATTTTGAAACATAGCAAGAGGCTGGTCTTTGAGAATTTATTGTAGGCTACTCCATCGATCGACTAGTCATTACCAACCTCCTCACAAAATATAAGGGCTATAAGCCAAAGAATTCCCTTGTTATTAGTAAGGCTGTTTTTGTTATTTGAAAAGACGGTGTATATATATATTTAATTACTTGCAGTTTTATTCATTACTTTTAGTTTGATCCATACAGTGTTCCCATGATCACTTTTGCGCAAATTCATCGGCAATCGGACATCATAACAAGTTTCCTTTCTGCATAGAAAATTGTAAATTTCGACAATTTTTTTGCTTTAAAGATAATGTAATTGCCAGAATTCCCTTTATAAACTACAGTAAACATATGTATTTGTATCTTTTAATTTCTTGAAGTGAACATAAAATCTGCCCATTATAAATAAATATCTCTGTTGCCTTTAGAAAACGTCCATCTCGCCGGCATATAATCCTTTAGAACAATACAAATAATTAAAACAAATTTCCTACTTTATACACAATAATTTTTTTAAAGGTTGATTAATTACTGTCATTAATAACCATATGATCTTTCTGTTAATGAAAACAGTATTAGTCTTATATAACATATAAAAATGTAGGTATCTCATTTAAAATATAAATGGATAAAAGAACAGCTGGAGTGAATTAAATGATTTATAATAAAAAAAACCATAAAAACAAGAGTTTTCAAAGTTAGCCGATGCCAACCTTTCTAAGATGATATTAAGGCTGGGGCTAGATTGAATATCACATGGAAGGCTATTTCAGTATTACAAAGGATACCTCTATGAGTGGAGATACTCCACAGTCTTATGTTTTGTAATGTTTGGTTTAAACAGTATTTATTTCATATAATACAAACATATACAATTATGATACAACAACACTATATAAACAGGATTGAAAAGGAAGTCAAAGACTTATGTAGATTTCTTTCCTAGACTTATGTAGGTTTCTTTCCTGTAAAATGTAAAAATAAAGCAAATTTTAATGTAACAACACCAACAAGTACACTAGTTACTAACATGAAATAATTACATAATTACGCCTAGAAAGAGTGAGATAAGTAATGAAAATACAACAAACGACGAAAAAAGTGAGAATTACAACAAATGTGCTATTATATATAAAGAGGACCCCGTACGGAAGGGAAAAAAAGCTCGATCTTAAGTCTGAACAAATATTTTCTACTTTTTTATATGAACACTCAAGAATTATAGTAAAGAAGAAGCATATATAGAAGGATAGTTATAGAACTCAGAGAACGAGATGTGGCCATTGTCTTTGAAAGGGAGTTTAGGTCAGTAATGTCTGTGATAGTTTTTTTATATAAGAAAAGGAATTTTTACTTATGTGTCAATATAAATTATTTGATTTTTGTGGTTATCAGGAGTATTTACATCCTGGATATTAGACCTAGTATCTTATTATTATTGTTACATAAGAGACAAAGTATAAATCATGATAATATAGTAAAGGATGAAATTAAAAGAATGTTGAATTATGAAAGCACGTGATAAACGTTCGTAAGTACACCATTTATATTGTTTGTGAATTATATAAGGAGTTAGGCAAGACAAAACCGCTGTGTGCTAGAGATATATTCATGTACAAGATCACATATTTTGGCATTTGTTTCATCGTTGAGACCTTTGTCGCCATACAGTATAGTTGACAATGTAACTGTTGTTATTTGTTGAAGCTGTTCCTTGAGAATATGGTCCTCTGGAGGGAAAATTGATTACAATTTAAAAAAGTGACATGAATCTTCAATCTCACCGCACTGACAGAAGGGGTCATCAATTATGTTTTTAGAAAAGAGATCTTCCTTTAGAATGCTGCAATGGGTTCTAAGTCGTGTGTGTAAGATTTGGGACTTACGCCCAGCAAACATTTTATATCGGTCCAATATCAGCCCGATATCAGTTGTTATGTCGGCCCGATATCGATTTCTTATATCGGACAGATGTCGGATGTGCAACCCGGCTACAAGTCGGGCCGATATCGGCTGTATATCATTAGATCGATTTGAAGCCGGTGTCATACCGACATAAATTAACCTTTAATTTTTCTTCTAATAAAACATTTTACTTTGATTTTTTCATTCCAATTAACAAAAAAACACAATTGAGCTTAAATATAAGCTTTTTATTTTCATTTGGCAAATATACATGTTTATCATAGAATCAATATTTTTTTTTAACAAATATATGTTAATTGTGTACAGCAGTTAACATCACAGTCAAAAGAGAATTTAACAAAGATTGGAAACAAGAGCTGTCACAGGAGACAGCCAAGCTCGACTAATAAAATACTGGACGCAGTAAGGAGGACAAAACTACAAAAGAAAAATCAATTATGTATAATTATGTATTAAGTTATAGTAAAAGAAACAACATTTTTTAAAATAAATTCCAAGATCAAGGGAAATAATTATAGAAATAGTCACGCTAGAGTTATGAACCTTGTCACACAACATTTATGTAATGATAAGAAGTATATATTTGAAGTTTGAAGTAGATACCTTAAAAAGTAACAAAGTTATAATATTTCTTAAAGAAAATCCTAAGTTCAAAGAGAGATAAATCTGTAAAAATTACTTCAAGAGTTATGAACATTGTCACATAAAATATAATTGATTATAAGGAATATGTATTTGAAGTTTGAGGTAGATACCTTTAAAACTAAAAAAGTTATAGTAAAAAATAACATTTTTCTAGTAAAAAAATCTAAGTTGATGGGGAGATAATTCTTGCAACATTGGTGCTAGAGTTATGAACCTTGTCACATAAGATGTGGATGATGATAAGGTACATTTATTTGAAGTATGAAGTTGATCCCTTTAGAAATAAATAAGTTACAGTAAAAAATAATATTTTTTAAAGAAAATTCTAAGTTCAAGGGGAGATAAATCTGAAAATATTGGTGCTAAAGTTATGAACCTTATCACATAAGATGGGGATGATGATAAGGTACATATATATTTGAAGTATGAGGTTGATCCTTTAAGAAATAAAGAAGTAACAGTAAAAAATAGTATTTTTTAAGGAAAATTCTAAGTTCAAGGGGAGATAAATCTGAAAATATTGGTGCTAGAGTTATGAACCTTGTCACATAAGATGGGGATGATGATAAGGTACATATATTTGAAGTATGAGGTTGATCCCTTTAGAAATAAAGAAGTAACAGTAAAAACTTGTATTTTTTAAGGAAAATTCTAAGTTCAAGGGGAGATAAATCTAAAAATATTGGCGCTATAGTTATGAACCTTGTCACATAAGATGTGGTTGATGATAAGGAACATATATTTTAAGTTTAAAGTTGATGCCTTAAGAAATGACAAAGTTATAGTGAAAAATATTTTACTGCACCAAAACTTTAATCTGAAATCTGGACGCGGACGCCGGGGGGAGTAGGACAGCTCTCCATATACTTTGTATAGTCAAGCTAAAAATATATTTGTATTTTTAAAAGACAATGGTACTGTAATCAAGTATTTGTTGCTTTATCAAAATTAAATTGTTTATCGCAGACTGCAAATAAAACCCAATAACATAACAGCAAACAATCCATTTTTCATCGTTTTGTTATAACCGTGGTAATAGTATATAGGTACTTTTTAAAGTGTAGAATTTAGTTTCTTCTTTTAAATATGCCGATGCTTTCTGAATTTCTGCGACTTCCACAGGTAGTTGGTTCAAATCACTGATTGTAGAATGAGGAAAGATTTAGAGAAGAATTGAGTATTACAATGTATGTTTCTGGTATTATGACCATTTCTAAAATTATAAGGATTGACAGATGAACAGATTCTGGGACTAGAGAGGGGGGGGGGGAATCCCGGGATCCGGGACGCACAGGATCCGGGATCGTATTAGATATAGAGGGAAAACTAATAAACTATGTTTGTGTTGATTATTGTCGTAATGAAAGGCGATTAAACGTTAAGTTTTTATTTTTTTATTGTATGTAATGAACGTTAAATTAATTTATCTAGGATATCAATATATTTAGAGCGATTTATTAACAAACTTAAAATGCGGAAATCACAATACTTATAATTATATACCTAATTCATTGGAAAAATTAAAGACTATATTCTTGAATTTGTCAAATCCCGGGATCGTATATGTTTTAATACGATCCCGGCTTTTCTGAAAACTATATTCTTGAACTGGTAAATTCCCGGGATCCCTATATGTTTTAATAAGATCCCGGCTTATCTGAATTTCCGGGATCCCTATACTTTTTAATACGATCCCGAAAATCGTGAAAAAAATACATTATTTTTAAAGATTTTTATAATTACTACAGTACAAATCAAACTTATTCAGAAATCTCTACAAAACATTCAAATGATGATGATAACAATAATAATAATAATAATACACCGAGAGTAGGTGGTCAATTCCCGGGATTATTATATGTTTAATCCCGGGTCCCGGCTTTTCTATCGGCGATCCCGGGATTTTCCCCCCACCGACTAGAGAAGATAAATTTAATATGATGGTACCAGGAAGTTTGTCATTTTGTAGTACATTATTAATTTGTGTTTAAGCCTTCTGGATTTAAGAGTTTCAAGACCAGTTTTGTTATGTTTTACAAAGCTATAAAATTTCTTCTTTTTTTCAGCCTGGCTGTGAGTCCCCATTGTTGTCACCGTTTTGCAAAACAAAAAAAATCTCAGTTGCATCACGGCTGAAATTACCTTAAAGGGTGTAACTGGTAAAAAGTATATTCAGCATGATTACCATATAAAAATATGAAAATGGCAATTTTCACACGTCATTTTTTTTATTTAAATATTAAAAAAGAATTTTCGTTTTCACATCTCTCTCTAGTATTTACCTTTTCTCTTGTTAACTGTACTTGAGTTAAATTGAAGTGGATACTCTTTAATTATGGAGACATGATAGGTTATTTCGGAATGCCCGGATATTGTGTACTGAAGTTCATGATGGAGAAAGATTGTTTATTTCATTTATAATGGCATATTTCCCAAAAATTGGTCCTTTTTATGATCCCAATCACGAACATCAATTTTATGGAGAATCTGATGGACGTCTTCGGTTGAGGAAATCAGGTGAACATTACCACGAAGAGCAAAGGTTGGCGTCGAAGTTAGTATTTTTTTTTACAAATCAGCATAGTTACTTATCATATATGTATTGTTATACAAAATAAGTGCTTGTTTGTGTATTTTCCAAATTAGCCATAGATCTGTTAAACAATGAAGAAAACAATTTGTCAGTGTTGTAGTGTAGTTTTTTCCTGTCGATTTGTGACTTGCATTAATAATAATAATATGAAATTAGGCAAAGCCTATGAACGGGGAAGTCGGTAAAAATCCTTTCATTTTTCCGTTTTAAAGGTGTCATTCGGTATTATATGTACCCACTTCCGTTTTCACTCGGAACACTCGACGATTATTATTAATCCGAAAAGTTGAGATATGTTACGTTATCGGAATACACCGCCTTTTATCATTGAGTTACATTGTAAATGGCGGCGCCTATCTAGAACTGACACTGAAAATTTCATTGATAGGTATAGAACTCTATATATTTTTTAATTGTTTTTTATTTGAATTTTCTTTTAAATATACACGTGTAGTCTATAGCCGGGCAAGCCAAAGCCCGGGCCCGCTTCGCGGGCCCGGACTTTGACTTCCCCGTATGAAAAAGGCAAAGCCTCAAAGCGAGCTCGATGTACTTTTTACGTGAAATAGTTAGCCTGGGTTACCTGCCTTTACCATTTCATTATCGGAGAGCACATTGTGCAGAGTACGCTGGGAACCAGATTAGTAAAATAGTATGAAATAATCTCAAATGCAGTGACAAGTGCGTGTGACGTCACACGTACTGTGTTAAACTGTCGTGAAATGAATAATGAATAACGAGTTTTGAAAACGTTGATAAAACTTTGTTTATTTTATTTCACTCTATAATTTTTCAAGCGAAATAAAGATTATTTTAAGTGAAATAAATGTAAAACTTAAAACAGTTGCGACATTAAAATAGCGTAATTGATTTGTTTGTTTTGCACATGCTGTTTGGCGCTACATTGTGACGTCACGTAAACAATACTTTAAACGTCTGTACAGCGTTAACGACTGAATAAAAGATATTGGTGTTCGGATTCATTTTCTTAGTTAGACCATTTTCTTTCATTCTAGATAGTTTTCACAACAAAATTCGACAAAAAATTGTTCATTTTTTATCAGATTTTTCAAACAAAATGGCGCCTTCAATTTACAATTTTATACACAGCTTCCGTTATTCTGGTTCCATGTCCAATTATGGTTCCCATTGACATGCGCGGGTGACCAGTCTACACATCCGTTTTCAGTCAGAATTCCTCAGTTTTTATCGTTATCTTTAAATTCCAAAGGTTGCGATGTGTCCAATTCGGTACTTCGGACGAAAGTTTTCAAAACCATCACTTAGCAGGTACTCGCGTTACCGTAAAGCTCGCTTTGCGAGCAGGCCCTTCGGGCCAGCTCGTCGAGCTCGCTAATAATTAATCTGAAAAAGGCAAAGCCTTAAGGCGAGCTCGATTTACTTATACAGTACTGGACACGCGAAACCCGCAAAAGTCGCGTTATGCCGCGAGTGTAGTTTATGTCGCGACGGGACACTTCGCGGTAAAACATCGCCGCGTGCAAGTTCGCCGAATTTCGTGGCGGGTCACGAAAAATCGCCGCGATGTATCGCCGTAATTTACGGCGAATCTTCAGCAATAATTGTATTAGAAAGTACTACTTGGTCCTTAATTCCCGTGATCTTTAATTTTGAAAACTTTAAAAAAAATCTTGTAAACGTCTTGTATATTTATAAATATTTAGCATTTGAACATGTACAGCGTATACATTTTGTATATTAAAACAAAGCAATCAGGTGCTGGTGAAAATTAGTTAACAATAAAACGAGATTGAAATTACAAAAGGTAATTGGTACTACATCAAAGAACGCACGATAACAAATTGTCCAATTGTTATTTTGATAATAATACAAATGTAATTAAAATCCATTGTTTACTTTCGCACATTTTCTATTTTTAGAACAATGCAAAGCGACATTTAGCACCGATTCACGGGTGTAACTAATTATTACGTCTAATACGCTAATTATGATTGTTGAAAATTGTAAAGGTTTTATCACTTAAATTGACATTCTTTACCTTCAATTTCACGAGTAAAAAATGCCAGGTGCAGGAGTAGGTGATGAGAAATGTAAATAAAATATCACAATCAAAATGCACTTACGATTAATAATATGTCAATAATTGACACAATCAATATCCAACATTTTTTTTACTTGAGCAATAATTAAACATGTGTAATCATTCCTTGACAAAAAGAAATGACAGTTTTTTTCTGATATATAAAAAAGAGGTGAAAGTCAATCGAGTGTCGGCATTTCTTTGATGATTCGGCAACAACTACAGGTGTGTAAACATCAAAGATTCACAGATTCTTCAGAAGAGCCGACCAGTCATTTGTCAGAGGTCATTTCGTGTGTAAATTTTGTATTTATTATTTAACAATGGAAACATTATATTCCTTTTATTTATGGATGCTTCTTTTTGCGCGAGTGTTTTTTGTGTCTTTTAGCGCTATGGAATTTCAACAATCGGCGATAATTTTCGGTAAGTAACAATTAAATATTTTAACATTTTTAAAACAGGGGTGCAAATATCCGCCATTCAGAAATTATAGCAGACAAATCTTGCGTGTGTATTTTTTTACAAACGTGTAATAAATTGAGTAATGATCACCCGAGAGAACGAAATGTCCCGGTGATCCACTACATTTAGAAATGAACAAGTTAATGTCTTATCAATTATGTATCTTTTTATGTAACTAAATATCTTTTTACACATATATTATATTTATATCTCTTACTTTAAACTCAATATGTACCCCCCCCCTAAAAATAGTTTTACACGTGTACATGCACACTATTTACCTGCAGATGGAGCCGCATACTTGTACTGCGTCGCATTTAACATTGAGGTCATGATTCCGCCATTCACGGAAAGTTTTTAACGGTGTTATTTGATTTTCGCCGTGGTTATTTATATTTGCTGTTGGCATCAAAGATAAATAGAGAAAGGGCATTTTAGCAAATTACAAGATTTTCTTGATACAACTTCATGTAGTTCTACTAATTAATTTTCGTACTTGTACATGTATATCTGGTTTCAAGTTCACAGACAACACTTATAAATAGATCTACATTTATTATACAAATGAACATGTATTATTCCCCGCGAATCGCGAATCGCGGCAAATGTTCACGGCAAAATCGCCGCGAGTTGAATTCGCGGCGATTGTCTCAAGTTGCCGCGAATTCGCTCGCGTTATAAAGCATGAGAGTTCGCCGCGAATACGCGAATTGTGCGGGTTTCGCGTGTCCAGTACTGTACATCAAATAGTATATAATATACATAATCGTTTATTTCTATTTAACATTTTCTGTTTTTAAAAGTGCCATTCGGTATTGTATGCACTGCTTCCGTTTATTCTGGTTCCCTGTCCTATTATGGTTCCTATTGACCTTTTCGAAAACCTAGCTAAACACCGTTTTCCGGTACGTTACCGATTTAGCTCTGGGGAATTACACCAAATGAAGAACATAACACGGTTACATGATATTTCTATTTTTCTTTCATTATTTTACCGTTTAAGGTGAAAAGAATTTATGTTATTGAAAATTATCAATATTCCTTTAATATCTATTGCAAATTTTTCAAAAAAATAAGTTGTTTAAAATGAAATTCAATAAAATTTAAACCGACATAGTGGAATCTTCCATAATAAATAAGGTTATTTTCGGCGTAAACTTGTGTATTTACTTTATTTTTTGTATGGAATTATTTATACAATGATATTTAATTATTTTCTTATAAAGAAATAACTGTTTTATTTCAATTTAATTTTAAAAAAGGCCGAAAACATCGAGTTAGCTATTACACTCCATTAGGTGAATTCCCCAGAGCTATGTACAGAAAGTACCGGAAAACGGCGTTTAGCTAGGTTTTCGAATTCGTGAATTAAAGTGCGCAGGACACCAGTCTATGCATCTGTTTTCAATCAGAATTCCTCCGCTTTAATTGTTATCATGTAATTTTGAAAAGTTGAGATGTGTCAATTCAGTACTTCCGACGGAAGTTTTCAAAGCCATCACTATCTAGCAGGTACTCGTGCTATCGTAAAGCTTGCTTTGCGAGCAGGCTCTTTTGGCCAGCTCTTCTAGCTCGCTAATATTTTGAAATATCTCACATGTGCCAAGAAATATCTACATAACCTAAATACAATATAGTTTGTGCATTTGTTATTTAGGTGCTATATCTAAATGATTTTAAACATTAAACTTTTAATGACATCTTGAAAACAAACATTCATAGAAGTCTCAACATGCTTAATCATCGATTTATTTAATCCACTTCAGCCTGTGATGGTTTCATGATTATGGACAGGGATTGAAAATTCTTTTCTGAGCCACTCGTCCGGCATTCTTTGCTACTCGTCGGGCATTTTTGATTTGATTTTATTTAAAGATAAACTTTGCCGATGCAATAGAAACTGCAGATGCAAGAGACCACTAAAACTTCTCATAGTCAGTGATTTTTTTTCTCCAATTTTCAAAACAACCTGTGGCTTTCTGAAGGGGAAAATATAGCGTGGGGAAAATCGAATTCCTACAACTGGGAACACTTTTATAAAATTTTCAATTTCAATTCAATTTGACATGCATGGTACATGACTGGGGCTATCTATCGAGACAGCTTTCTGTCTCCTATCTGATATGTCAGCTGCTGTTGAGTCATGGTTCTGGTAGAGAATATGCACAGGGCATTTTAGGGGAAAATATAAGCATTTTTAGGGGAAAATATACCTATTTGAGCTAGGGGAAACAGCCTTTATTCGGCTGTCAAATACAGGGGAAAAAATCATTGATAATCAATTTGTTTACATAACTTTAACAAACCAAAACTGGAAACAAAGCTTGTGTTTTTGGTTATGTATAAATTGCACACTTTATAGAGCATTGACAGGCACATTCCAGATACATCCTTATCCAATTAACAATGCTTTTAGAGCTTTATAAAAAGTGCAACTTATAAATAACCTAAAACACAAGCTTTGTTTCCGGTTGTCCATCGTGAAATGTAAACAAACTGATTTTGAGAATACAAGCTTTCTTTTACTGTTTTACATCTGCAAATTATTGCTCTTCCAGCTGGACGAGCATACAACAATTTTGTCCTGCATCAATGTCTACTCATGGACAAGTGGAATTTTCGATCCCTGTAGGGGTTTACACCACTGTATGTTAGTTTGGTAATAATCCGTCCAATCAGATTGATCGTTGGAAATCTTATCTTGTGTAAAATTTTACATCATAATAGAACATGTTTGTTTGCTAGATTGTAATCATGTATTGTAATGTAAACTTGTGTTCATCCTGTGACGTTTTTATGGTTAGTAGGGGCTTACACTACTGTATGTTAGTTTAGTTATAATCCATCCGATGCGATCTAATTGTTCTTTGAAGTATTGAGTAATTTTTTACATAATTATAAGAACATTTTTTTGCTAAATGTAAACTTGTGTATTTGCTAAATTTATTACATTTAGCATAATAAAGTAATTAGATTATCAAATTGTTTGTAGGATAAGCAGGTTTACACCTGTTTATTTACGCATTTAATTGGATAAAGTTCTGGTATAGTCTCAGCTAAAAATTCCCATTTGGCAAATTGGCTCTTGTGCAGATTTTGTCACAAGTCTGTCTAATGTGTGCATCCTGATTTTCACGAGTCATAACCCTGATACCCATGAGTTTTTGCAATTTGCAAGGTTGGCCATACATATACAATCACATGCTGCTAATCAAAAGGTCTGTTTATATGATGTGAGCCAAGTATTGCAAGCTCACATAAATTATCTAGGCTAGCCAGAAGGGCTACAACATTTTAAAAAGATGACTATTGTTAATGGTCAAAGTTCTCTTGGGTCTTTGACTCTTAGTAAATAATCATGACAATAATGTCAGTCAAAAGTTTTTTCAGGTTTTTGCTCTTAGATCATTAGTTAATATTTTCCTCTCAGGATGTATATATTTTTAATGGCTTATTGATATAATAATTTTTCAGTGATCAAAGTTGGAACCATGTTGTACAGGACCATGAGAATCTGTTCTACATGGATCCAGCAGAGAACAGAGAATCATGTAGAAACTCTTCAGTTGGTATGAACCATAGAAGGCAGGAAAGTTTACAGTCAGTTGGAAGTGCTGGAAGCTACCAGTCTGGCAGCAGTGAATCACCAAGACAACCATTCAGTAGACAAAGTTCATTGGGATCTGAACGTAGCAGTAGCTCAAAATCTGGATTAAACAGGCAGTATTTAAATAGAGACAGACCCCATGTAGATAATCATAGACAACAGTATGAGCATTTTCAAAGAGATAACGCGTTAAGACTGTCTGACCCTAGTTATGCAGCATTTAGTGAAAATCTTAACACAGAAAATGGGCATCCAGAAACAAGCCAGAGATCTCGTCTTAAAATTCCATTAACTGAAAGTAACAGTAGTTCGGTGAATATAACTGTGAGTCAGTCTGGAAAGAGAAAGTCAGTTTTAATGGTGCCAAATGTTAGAAATATTGAAGATGTTGATAACTTGTCTGGTTTAGAACTATGTGAAAAATTGTTTGGCATAAAACTTTGTCACTACAAACAAAGACCTCCACGCCCAAATGGTGCTAGTGTTGACCATGTGTTAAGAGATCGTAAAGTTATTGTTCAGGCTGTTATTACAGATAGTCAGGCAGATATATGTGGTCAAATAAATAGAGGTATGAAACTTGTGATATATCTAAACTTATAGTGAAGATCTTGATGTTGTAAAGTTAAACATTTTGATTATGAATTATAAATGTCTTATGTATAAAATTTCAGTCTTTAGCATTTTACATGTATGTAGATAAAATTTAATTAAGATGTCTTTAGTTTATGGGACTTGTTTAAAACCTGAGGCAAATGTGGTTTGTAAAAGTCTAAAAGCGTAAACAAATATAATAAGGTGGTGTATTAATACTACATGTAATTGTTACTGATACCTTGTGTTGATTTTTACCTATCATTTCAGGAGATATGTTGGTTGGCTTGAATGATTTAGATTTGACATGGATTAATATTGATGACCTACTCAGACAAGCTGTGCCCCAACAAAAGGTAAGAGACATTCATCTTCAGTCTTCGAAATTAACGCCAGTCCGCGGCCCGAGGCCACTAAATTTAGCATCGGTCCGGTGATTATTGCAAGGTTGGTGGTCCGACAGGCCAGTAGATTTTTGGCAATGCAAAAATATTATAAGAAAAATTCATCGAAATAATGAAGCAGGGCTCTCTAAAAGATTTGCCTTTTTTGCAAATGAAACCCATCAATTCTGTCCTAAATGTTCAAAACACAGCGAGAGATGTCTAAATTGTATCGAGTAATGGAGGCCGCCATTTTTTTCTTGGATATTTTCCGTATCGCACCGTACAGTTACGGAAATTAAATCATTGTTTATTATGGTCTTTATTTACCTATGATTTTGTGATTATTGAGTTAAGTAAATATTTTGTGTGAAAGTGATTCGTTTGAAGCAAATTGCATTGTTCATCTTCAGTTCTAGTTAATTTAGCCTAAACATTTTTCAGATTTTTCAAAGCTGTCAACATACAATGTCATGTATGGCTCAGAATACAAGAAGTATTTATTTATGCTTCTTTCAAAATTATCAAGGGAAACATGATAAAGTGTTTTCCTTTACCCATCAAATTATTAACTATAAATGTATTTGGTCCGGCTAAAAATCATCAGGTCCAGTAAGATTTGAAATTTTACTGGCCCGAATGTCCTGTGCTTTTTAAAGTTTTTCGTGAAGACTGCATCTTAATGTGTACACTTATGCCACTGAAATTAGTAAGTTTGAAATATTACAAGTGAAATTTCAAGGCCAGACAGAGCATAATGATATATAATGCAAAAAAAGAATTGGCAATATCTTGTATTTGGGAACTGATTAAGTGAATTGGATGGTGATATGCATAAAGCTAAAGATTTCAAAATTGCTGAAAAGTTAACGTATTGTTATCTGGTTTTCTATTCCTTAATGGATAAAATAGCTTATTGGTTATAGGTTCATCATCGGTACTGCCAAACTTGTGTGCCATGATAAATGACTTTTAATGTTTAACATTGACGTAAAAGAAACACTGAATTTGATGTTAAAACAAACATTTGATTTTTGGAGTGTATAGAAACACAGTAGAACAAGTTGTCATTAATTTGCTTTTATTTATATTGCAGGTAAAACTAACATTCCAGGTGCCAGTTGTAGTTGGACCAAAACAAGCAACACCACCTGTAACACCTACAAGACATACTCCGCCTCCACCAAGACAAAACCCACCTCCTGTACCACCCCATATACCTCTACGCATACCATTGACTCCTCCTCCCAGACCACCTGCACCACAACATACGGAACAGCGTCAGGATTTGGTCTCCATGACAACTAGTGAAACACGATCAAGTTTAGCTGCTGCTTTAAGCCGTTTTTTGTTTTCTGTTATGTATTTAACGTTTGCAGGCCAGTCTGAGAACTCAAGGGTATGTATTACTGTTTTCTTTGATTCTTCTGTAACTAATAGTGTGTGTTTCATTTGTAAGAGTTAATTGCATTTATAGACTTTCACTGTATTGCTTTTATGCATTAAAATGACTCCACTGACTTTTTTGACATGATGGGACTGAAAATAATTGTTTTAAGATCCATTTGATGTAGGTCTAGACCAATAACTTGTGGTCAAAATTTCAGATAGTTTGCTCACTCCGTTTGCACACAAGCTTTGCAATACTTTTCACTCAAATCAAGCTAAGAATAACACAAAAGTACATTTTTCAGTTTATTTCTGAGGATATTTCTACATTAATTTATCTTTTGCATAACTTTTTGTTTTTAGTTCCCCAGCTGATCTCTGTAAGAATGTCAAATTTTGTGGAGTTAGTGTTCAGTGGAGTTCCTTTTATATCACATTTCTCTAATTTTTACTTTTTCCTATTGTTTATGGTTAGGATTCAAGCTGATCTACATTAGAAGCACAGTCTGAAGTATCAAAATACAATTAACACACTTGCAGGTGATTTTGTGTTCTTTCAGGACACAATTACAAAATGATTTAAAAAAAAAATCAATGTGAATTTAGTGATTTTTATGCAAGAAATGGTGGAAAAGACCCACTTATAATGATCCTGGCCTATTTAGTCAACCCTTTATTGTTGTAACACTACTACTCCTATTGTAGCAAAGTGATAGATAGAATACACTTTAATGCATTTCCTATTATAATGCAAATTTATATAAATACAACAAATGACTATGTTTTGTGTTTTCATTTGCTACAGCTTTCTAGCTTGACAAGGAACAATAACCACTAGACTAGGTTTATATTATGTATGATTTATTTCAGGATGATGTTGTATACCAGTATCCCAGTGATGATAATAAAATATTTGATGTACGTGGATTGTTTCTCACACTCAATGGTCTATTACCAGATGTTACTAGTAATTATCCAAAAATGTAAGATTTTTGTTTTATCTAACTCATTCTTAGTTTGTGCTCTTAATTGTATGTACTCAACAGAAATGGTGCTACATGTATTAAGATTGTGATTACTTTCACTTTAAAATTCAAGGCACCTATCATGCCTCTTTAGATTTTTGATCTGAAGCAGACAAATCAAATATTTATGAGTTTATGTGCATGTTTGATAAAATGATGCAATCATTGCTATATATGATGTAATATTATCACAAACTTGCTTTTGACGAAAATATAAGAATTTTTATTTTTACTATAAAAGGACTAAAATATATACATATAAAGCATTATTTGAAGTATGACCTATTTATGACTTATTTTTTCTATTCCTAAATTTCATACTTCATTTTTGAAAAATCATTTACAAATTACTAGTTACTTCATAGAAAATTACTTTGTATGTTTAAGCATAACTATGATAACAGTTAGCTTCAGTCTCAGTATTTCTTTTGTATTCTGTATAACTATATTAACACGGTAAATGTTATTTTTGTGTTTTAGGACATGTATAAATTATCGTAAAAACAATATAAATATTGCGTACTGGAAGACAGATCGGGATGTGTTGTTGCTTTGCTTGCCAGAAGACAAAGTGCCATCTTTCTACCTTCTACATATATTCTCAGACCTGTTACACCTTATACAGGTGTTACATGGCTCTATAACCAGGTATGTATATCTACAATACAAAAAGTAAAAATTGAAATGATGCATTGTTTGATTATCCTTAAACCTATCAATGTTTTTTTCTGAACCAACATTTTGATGGACTGTTCTTCTTTCTTCTGTAAGGAGCAGTTTTACCTTTGTCTTTATATTTGTGAGATGTTTATTGACAGAAAGTGTTGCTTAGAAATGGAGAACTATACATATCAAGACAGCTTAGTTTCTTACTGTCTTGCTATCCATAATGATTGTTATCTTTTGAGCATTTATTTTATATTCCTGTATCTTATACTGAGACAGTTGAACATGCTGTCCTTTAAACAACTAGTGGTTATAGTAATCAGGCCTACTTTCACAAGGATTTTTGAAAGGGTATATGGCCCTATATAAACTTTTGTTTGTATTTTTTAACCTGAGCTGTAAGGAAAGGGTTATACTGCAAATAACTTGTTAAGGAACTTTATAATGGATTGACAATTCTGCAAATTAAAATCCTTTATAGAGAAAAGGGAAATAACATCATAAATCTACTGCAGCTGTGACTATAGATTACAGAAATGTCACGATTATCCAATGAAAATCAATGTTACAGAAGTGCAGTATTATAAATTATATTTTAAAGACAAAGTTTACATTATTTTTCAGGGTATTTAGAGACAGAGAATTACACTGTCATTTAGATGAGCTGGTCAGTTTAACAATGTATAGAGTGTTACATACAGGGGTTCAAACTCAGGCAATACCTTACTGTAACCCACTAGAGCCGGTACTGCTAGATACACTAACTGGTGTCAGGTGGTTACGACTCTCTTCAGATGATAAGGTGAGTGCCTTTAAACCTCTTAACATATGAAATATAAATATTAAAATAGGGTTTGTGCTTTTATGTTATTAAATGACTATTAAATTAAAATTTGATTGACTCAGAGCTATGGCAAGTAAGCATTAAATATGTAATTGTAAACAATAAACAGCATGCTCTTTTAAAAATAAAGTTTTAACCCCTTTAAATTACTGTCTGTAATTCCTGATATACATGTTTAAAGAACAAAATTAAGTTCACTTATTTTCATCTGAAACAAAGTTATCGTCAAGAATATTGCTTTGTATTAGTTCCCTTTAACAATGTAATGACACAAGTTTCTTTTCCAAAAGGGGTAAGACCAGCCATCTTTCCTGCAATGCTGGAAAAAATCACTTAATTTTTCTTTTTTGGCCGTTTAAAACTTATGATTGTAGTCAATCATGATTTAAACAGTATCTGTAGCTATGGAAAAAACAGCAACCTTCAGTCAAATGACTGTACAAGAAACAGTTACTGATGACAATAGGCTGTAAGAATCTTAACATATTCTACTGCAATACTTGTCAGTCAACTTTATATCACCAGTTCTCTAAGCAGCCTAATAATTTGTTTTCAGATGTCCTGTGATGAGATTTTAAATGAATATGAAGCTCAAGACTTCTCTGAATTTGTAAGTTCTTTTTCAAGTTATTGAACGTTTTTATTTTTTTTTATCTGAGCTCCATTATCAGATAATAGAAAAGAATTAAGCCTGATTGCCTTGTTTATTGTACAACTTTTCAAATTAAGAGAGATTTTCTTGTACAGAGTTTGAAATATCATTGAACTAATATGAAATAAAAATCTGATTGTTTTTATAAACTGTTATTAGTCCCCTACCAATTTACCGGAGGGGACTTTAGGTTTACCCTCCCGTCCTTCTGTCCGTCCGTCCACAAAACTGGATCCCGCGATAACTTGAAAAGTACTGAAAATATGTTTATGAAACTTGGTATATGGATAGATGGCAGTATGGAGATTATGCACATCTTTTTCTTTTCTTCCTATGTTGAAAATTCTGGTTGCTATGGCAACAAATAGGCTGAAAATATGGCAAATTTTACACATAAACTGGATCCAGTGATAACGCAAAAAGTACTGGAAATATTTTTATGAAACTTGACATATGGGTAGATGGCAGTCTTGAGATAATGCACGTCTTTTTCTTTTCTTCCTATGTTGAATATTCTGGTTGCTATGGCAACAAATAGGCTGAAAATATGGCAAATTTTACACATAAACTGGATCCAGTGATAACGTAAAAAGTACTGGAAATATTTTTATGAAACTTGACATATGGGTAGATGGCAGTCTTGAGATAATGCACGTCTTTTTCTTTTCTTCCTATGTTGAATATTCTGGTTGCTATGGCAACAAATATGCTGAAAATATGGCAAATTTTATACATAAACTGGATCCAGTGATAATGCAAAAAGTACTAGAAATATTTTTATGAAACTTGACATATGGGTAGATGGCAGTCTTGAGATTATGTACGTCTTTTTCTTTTCTTCCTATGTTGAATATTCTGGTTGCTATGGCAACAAATATGCTGAAAATATGGCAAATTTTATACATAAACTGGATCCAGTGATAATGCAAAAAGTACTGGAAATATTTTTATGAAACTTGACATATGGGTAGATGGCAGTCTTGAGATTATGCACGTCTTTTTCTTTTCTTCCTATGTTGAAAATTCTGGTTGCTATGGCAACACATACACTGAAAATTTGGCAAATTTTACACATAAACTGAATCCAGTGATAACTCAAAAAGTACTGGAAATATTTTTATGAAACTTGACATATGGGTAGATAGCAGTCTTGAGATTATGCATGTCTTATCTGTTCTTCCTATTTCGATAAAATATCAGTTGCCTTGGCAACAAATAGGCTTAAAACATGGCAAATATAACAATATTTGTGATTAGTCAAAAAGAGCTGAAAATTTTTATGAAAGTGCATCTTTAATTCAAGAGTTATCTCCTCTTTAAGAATTTTGCTTTTAAAATGTTATATTTTGGTAACTGGGATGTTTCAAATATTAACTTTAGAGTGTCCTCAGTCCATCTGTCTGTCTGTCTGTTCATAAAAACTGTTTCCTGTGATCACTTTTAAAGAACTTTTCCAACAAATTTACTTAAAATAGAGAAAAATTGAAACATTAGTGAATGGCCAATGGCCCTTCAGAATGTTGATGGGGCTCTAACCGGTAGGGGACTTATGGATTGCTTGCAATACTATGATAATTGCCTGTTTAGATTGGTTCTCTGAATTGTTTTCAACTTCTTACATATTATACTGGCATAGAGAATAGTTAAAAATTCTGATTCAAGCACTGCTATGACATTGATCAGCAAGAGTTGTCTCTCTATTTTAGGAGCACAGATATATATATATGCTTAGATTTTCAATCTTTGTATACAAGTTAACAGTCAATGTGACAGGATTTGAATGTTTGCAAAAGAATAATTTATGACAATATTTCAATATTTGTCAACTTGAAGCAATACATTTGTACATGTTCATGATGTTATATTTATGTGTTTGTAGGAAGAGGTTGACCCTGATGAAAGGAGAAAATGTGGCATTCTCGGGTCCTGTATGTTTTATAGGGTAAATGTTTCTTTTATATGGTTTATAAAATAAATGGATGGGTATTTCATTGTTATCTTGTCTACTTTGAAGAAAAAGACGAGTTATTATGATCACTGCAGCAGCGTCATGCAAAAACTTTGATGTAGCCCATTATTCAAACATTTTAAACAGTTTTTAAGAGGAATATTTGCTTATTATAACAAGGTGCAATTGTTAGACAAGGGGAATCATTCTGGAAGCAATATTTTAGGAATTATACCCTTTTTAATGTAGAACTTTTAACAGATGAGCACAAACATGCCATGCAGTGCTCTTATTGAATTCCTTATGATTTGACTGAAGAGATAAGTGTGGATTTTTTTTTTACATGCAGCACTTACTAACTTGCTGAGTTTGAAAAAGGAAACAAAAGGATGAACTAGTCTTTGCAATGTATTTGTTATTAAATGGAAAGGAAATTAGTAAATCTGAGTCAGTTTAAATGGTTTCACTTAAATGTAAGAAAAGTTACAGCTTTGTCTGTTAGATTTGTATTTTCATTTAATCAAATTATTGTTTTAATTTCAGGATTATTTATTATGTTCACACCTGTGTAGAGAAGATTTACAAGATGTTAATTTATTTCTCAAGTATCACTGTATCCTACATCTAGTCAGTAAACAATCTGTAGACAACCTTGTCATCTGGAGGGAGGTTTATCCTACACGATTCTGTCAATCTACAAAGAAAGATAATCCTGGTTACAGAGAGCCACAGGGGAGATGGTTCTTACTCGTTGTTAGCATGGTATGTTATACTTATTACACATTTTTTCCTCAATTCTTTATGCTCTAACTTGAGGGAGGGCGGTGGGGAGCATATAAATTTGCCCTTGTCTTGTCTGTCACGCTGTCCATCTGTGGACAAAACAGTCGGGCATCTTTGTGTGTGTATTTGCGTTTATTTATCCTCGCCTCCAGTTGCTTAATGGGCGAGTCCCCCAGAAGAGTATTAGTCATTTTAGATTTTGGAGGATAGTGCAATTTCAGATACAGAAAGATGCTCTAATTCCAGAAGCTTCTCCTGTTTCTTTACCGTGCCAAGTGTTTAAGCACCCATACACTGGACCTCACTCTAAAGTCTCATCTGAAAGACTGATTAGTAGTTTTAGTTGGCCAGCCCAAGAATCGAACCCACAATGTCGAGATCACAAGTCTCGCGCTATAACCGATTGAGCGCTGCGGGCTGGTTTGTCGGGCATCTGTGCTGTATGAACACATATCTAGTTTCCTTCATGTTTTTCTTAAGTTAAGACATACAACACACAATCAGTTAAACAAAAAAAGGTTATATGATGACTGTCCACAGTTTTATCGATAGTGAAAGAAACTGTAGAACAAGTAGGTGCTTGTGAAAGACTACAGTTATGTAGTTTTTATGCCAGCTATGTAGTCTTCTTAACAAAAATTGTGTGACTTTATCAAATTTAAACTAAGTTGTGTGACGAAAAAGGCTTTGACCACAAGTATTCTTCACTTTAGACTCCAATTTATTTCAAGTAATCAGATTTTGGTGAATGAGTTCACACTATATACATGTTTTGATATTGACATTTTCTATAATAAAATATTGGACGGTGTGTACATTGACATATCATGATAGTAGCATGTATATGTGTTATCAATGATGTAAAAATTAATGTCTTTGTTTTCCCTTTACAGAGGCATTTTCTCCTATGTACATTATTTGAAGCTGGCAGTTATGCAAGATCTGTGTCAGGTAGACAGCTGATAGACAAGTTTCTATTGGATCAGTCGCGGGCAACATTAGCCCAGCTTGATCTTGATGATACAGATATAGAATTACAGTGCAATGAAAGGTATGTCACATTAACGTTCTATTGACAACTGGTGCTATGATGCACTTTTCATGCTTTGAATTTGAAATTCTATGTTGTTAATTTAAAGGATTATCAATATTATCAGGAAAGGTACATTTTTGTTAGCTACATTTTTAGCTCACCTTGCACAAAGTGCAGGTGAGCTTTTAGGATGGCCAACCAAATGGCGTCCGTCGTCTGTCGTCCGTCCACATTTTAAATATTCTAAGGACATCTTCTATGATACCACAAGGCCAATGTTAATGAAACTTGCAGGATACTCTTCTGTATGAAGCTCTATCAAGATTGTTCAAAGATTCCATTTCATGCAGAAACTCTGGTTGCCATGGCAACCGAAAGAAAATCTTTAAAATATCTTCTTTTAAAGAACCGTAAGAGCTAGAGCTTAAGATATTTGGCATGAAACATCTTCTAATGAGTGTCTACCAAGTTTGTTCAAATAAAAGCCCTAGGGTCAAATTGGCCCCGCCCCAGGGGGTCATTGATTTTCCCTGTATGCATATAGTAAAACTTTAAAAAATCTTCTTTAAAAGAACCCAAAGAGCTAGAGCTAAGATATTTGGCAGAAACATCTTCTAGTGAGTGTCTACCAAGTTTGTTCAAATAAAAGCCCTGGGTCAAAATTGGCCCGCCCCAGGGGGTCATTGATTTTCCCTATATGCATATAGTAAAAACTTAAAAATCTTCTTTTAAAGAACCCAAAGAGCTAGAGCTAAGATATTTGACATGAAATATCTTCTAGTGAGTGTCTACCAAGTTTGTTCAAATAAAAGCCCTGGGGGTCAAAATTGGCCCCGCCCCGGGGTCTTATGATTTTCCCTATATGCATATAGTAAAAACTTAAAAAAATCTTCTTTTAAAGAACCATAAGAGCTAGAGCTTAGATATTTGGCATGAAACATCTTTTTAGTGAATGTCTACCAAGTTTGTTCAAATAAAAGCCCTGGGGTCAAAATTGGCCCCGTCCCAGGGGGTCATAGATTTTCCCTATATGCATAAGGTAAAAACTTAAAAAATCTTCTTTTAAAGAACCCAAAGAGCTAGAGCTAAGATATTTAGCATGAAACATCTTCTAATGAGTGTCTACCAAGTTTGTTCAAATAAAAGCCCTGGGATCAAAATTGGCCCCGCCCCAGGGGGTCATTGATTTTCCCTATATGCATATAGTAAAAACTTAAAAAATCTTCTTTTAAAGAACTCAAAGAGCTAGAGCTAAGATATTTAGCATGAAACATGTTCTAATGGGTGTCTACCAAGTTTGTTCAAATAAAAGCCCTGGGGTCAAAACTGGCCCCGCCCCGGGGGTCATTGATTTTCCTTATATGTGTATAGCAAAAACTTAAAATCTTCTTTGAAAAAACCCAAATAGCTTGAGTTTAGATATTATACATGAAACATCTTTTAAGTAAATATCTACAAAGTTTGTTCAAATAAAAGCCCGGGGGTCAAAACTGGCCCTGCCCCAGGGTGTCATTGTTTTTAACTATATGTGTATAGTAAAAACTTAAAAAAATCTTCTTTTTAAAAAACCCAATGAGCTAGAACTTAGATGTTTAGCATGAAACATCTTCTTATGGGTGTCTACCAAGTCTGTTCAAATAAAAGCCCTTGGGTAAAAATTGGCCCGGGGGGGGGGGGGCTATATACAGGTGAGCGACCTCAGGGCCATCATGGCCCTCTTGTTGTTACTAGTCACATAGCCCAATAGTTAAAAACCTTTTTGTAAGGAAAGTTATGTTTAATGCATTGTTTAGCACTTATTTGATAGAACATGGTTAAGGTACTTTAGAAATACTTTACAGTTTAAATGCTTTTGATAGTATTTTTGTGGACACTTAATCAAACAGGCATTTAGTGTATATCATATTGTTATTATTTTTATTTATTATTATTTGTTCATCAAGCATAAGCCATGCACAAGCCCTTAAAAAACAAAATATAATTTGTTCATTTTGATTTTCTGTGTGCAGAACATTAAAGTTTATAATATTCTCTATTGTAAAGATTAAGAAAATTTGTTGATCTTTTTTCAGGCTTTTCTCTGAGCAGTTTGGTCCAAGCTTGAAATGTATAGACTCAGAAAAACCAACTGGTTTCAACAACGATATAATATCACCTCTTAAATCTACACCTTCACCCAGACACAGTAAGATATATTCTTCATATACTTAAAGAACTTTTACTAATAATTTTCATACAATACTTTTTGTTTAATTTTTATTCATTTCAGTATTGTCAATGGTAAAACACATGCTGTTTATTTGTTACAACTTATTGCAATACTCCTGTATATAAGAAAACAAACCAGTTACTGTAAATTCACTTAATTTCATGAGCATGAAATGTTGAGGTTTGTCACAAAGAACTTGTTTGTGCAGACTGTTTATTTTTCCAAAAGGTAAAAATTTTAATGTAAGTAATTAAATTTCACTGAATCTTAAATTTGTTGATTGACTTATCCAAGAAAGGCACAAAAATTAGTTCCCCACAAATAATAATGATGTTGCATTTTAGAGAACTGCTCCAGAAAATGGCCACACTTGGGTTTTCTTGTACATTTGAGTATGGAACAAATAGAGTGGAAAGTTTTATATGACTCTATAGTCCATGTAATGAAAGATAATCATTTTGCCACTTGTCAACATGATGTCAATTGAATATAAAGTATAACCTGTTAGTTTTATATTATGATATAGATACAGATGATGTAGACAGATTATCATATCAATCTCCTAATGGTTTTATATTATGATATAGATACAGATGATGTAGACAGATTATCATATCAATCTCCTAATGGTTTTATATTATGATATAGATACAGATGATGTAGACAGATTATCATATCAATCTCCTAATGGACCTGGTGTTATAAAGAGACAGGGGAGCAAACTCTCATATGGATCTAATGATTCCAGTGGTAGCAGCACTAGCATTAACAAGGTATTCTTCTTTTCTTACATTAGGGTGTACTGAGGTTCCTTTTCTGTGTCTAAAATATGCTCTGCTCAGGTTCCTGTCTGTCTATAGAATAATGCACAGATAGGCATATGAGTGACTCCCTCTTGCATTAGAGCTGAAAAGTTGCCGTATGACTTGACACTGTCCACAATATTTGAAATCCAAACATTTACATTTAATTATGATTGGCCATTTTGTAGCTAAGGAGCTATTTAATTGTTTAATATTGTTATCTTTCCAAATGATAATTTGAACAATTATACTTTTGTGTAAGTTTTTGTTGTTGTTTTATTTTTTATCATATGTTATATGTATTTCATTGTATCATGATTATTTGCCTCTATAGTTACAGATAAAGTCAGGAAGTAAAAAAGGATCTATGTATGATGTGGATACATTGAATAGAAGTTTTAATAGAGACACCGGTAAATCATGTGACATCAAGTATGTATAGAGATTTATCTTTACTGGTCAAGTTATTTTACTTTTTTATTATTTATATATAATTATATTATAATGAGAAATGTCTTAGAAAATGCAATTTTTTTATACGCTCATTTAAAAAAAATGGGTCATATGATGGGATTGCCATTGACATTCCAGTATTACGCGAGACATAGTGTCGCACGCATTTAAAACAAGTCTCTATCTAGGGCAAATGCTTCTACACACATGGAAGGATTTTGATATAGCTTGGCACAAATGTTACCACTGTAAGGCACAGTGTCACACAAGGTCATGCAATGTCACATGCAGATGTCAAATGTCAGATGATAATAATCAAAATGTTTGTATGAACTATTTAGTCATCATGGCTGCTTCATATTATTGTTAATTGATTTCCGTATACATCAAAGAAAACATTGTCCAGTATTATGAATTAGTTATAAAAAGTTTTACATTTGATTGATGCATAATCCTTGCCTAGTGGTTCTGATTAGCGTTCAGCTATTTATACTGGGCCATGTCATTGTCAAAGAAATTATGAATTATGATATAAATAGTTATTTGATCTGAACAAGACTCTGAAAGTGGTCAAGTTAGTTGATTTTTAAATTTTTAAGTTCAGCCTTCAGGGTGAATTTATTATGTTAAACATATAAACACATAATACATGTCTCTAAACTTACCATATATGTCTGTTAACACATCATACATGTCTGAAAACACATCAATATGTTCCTTCACACATTGTTTATGTCTGGAAACACACTGTATATGGTTCTACTCAGGTACCCGTTCGTGCCTGAAATAATGCACGGAAGGGCACCTGAGGTCTTCCTCCACCAGTAAAGCTGGAACGTCGCAGTATGACCTATACTGTGTCAATGTGACGTAAAATCAAAAACAAACAAACACTGTATATATCTCAAAACACATCATATTATGTCTCTTTACAAATTGTATATATCTTTAAAGACATCATACATGTCTCAAAACACATCATACATGTCTCTTTACACATTGTATATGCCTGTAAACACGTTGTATATGTCTGAAAACACATCATACATGTCTCTTTACACATTGTATATGCCTGTAAACACGTTGTATATGTCTGAAAACACATCATACATGTCTCTTTACACATTGTATATGTCTGAAAACACATTGTATAATGTCTTTGAACACATCATACATGTCTCTAAATGCATTATTTTTGTTTGTCAACACATTGTATATACATGTATATGTGTACTGAGTCTATAAACATATCATATATGTTTAAATGATTCTTATTTTAGATGGACTAGAGGATTAGGTAATCAGCTGTTTCACTATGTAAATTTTGACCAGTTTGAGTGTGTTTACATGAGTCCAACACCATATGATCTCGCCTCCACACAAGGTTCAACACATCAACATTTATTGTTTAACTTCTATGGTGGATGCTTGAGGATACATGAATCTTTTGAAAAGACTGTTAAGAAAAAGGTATGTAGTTTTTAGATCGACTATTCGATAAGATACTAGTCACCCGAGTGTTGGTGTCGGCGTAACCACTTCTGTTAAAGTTTTGTAACACCTCAAATATTTTCAAAGTCCATTGACATATGGCTTTGAAACTTTGCACATTTGTTACCATCATGACCCCAACCAGGGTAAAAGATGGTTAAATGTGTTTGCTATAAGAGGACATTAAAAATAAAATGCTTTTGAGAAATAAAAATAAAGGTATTTCAACGCTTAATGAGCCTTTATTTATTTGCTGACCACACAGCAACAATGCAAATGTAGATAAAGATAAAGAAGAAAACATCAGAAGTTGATAGCAGATATTAGTAATTAACTCTACCATTGTAAAAGTATTGTTAGCTCGACTATTCGCAGAATAATCGAGCTAATGCAGTCACCCATTTGTCGGCGTCGGCGTCCCTGTGGTTAAGTTTTTGTATGTAAGCTGGTATCTCAATAACTACTGAAGGGAATGGATTGAAACTTCACACACTTGTTCTCTGTGATTATCTAAGATGATTAGCACAAGTCCCATAACTCTGAATTGCTTTTTTACATAATTATGCCCCTTTTTCGACTTAGAAATTCTTGGTTAAGTTTTTGTATGTAAGCTGGTATCTCCATTACTACTGAAGGGAATGGATTGAAACTTCACACACTTGTTCTCTGTGATTATCTTAGATGATTAGCACAAGTCCCATAACTCTGATTTGCTTTTTTACATAATTATGCCCCTTTTTTGACTTAGAAATTCTTCGTTCAGTTTTTGTATGTAAGCTGGTATGTCCATAACTACTGAAGGGAATGGATTGAAACTTCACACACTTGTTCTTTGTCATTATCTAAAATGATTGGCACAAGTCCCATAACTCTGATTTGCTTTTTGACATAATTATGCCCCTTTTTCGACTTAGAAATTCTTGGTTAAGTTTTTGTATGTAAGCTGGTATCTCCATAACTACTGAAGGGAATAGATTGAAACTTCACACACTCGTTCTCTGTGATTATCTAAGATGATTGGCACAAGTCCCATAACTCTGATTTGCTTTTTTACATAATTATGCCCCTTTTTCGACTTAGAAATTCTTGGTTAAGTTTTTGTATGTAAGCTGGTATCTCCATAACTACTGAAGGGAATGGATTGAAACTTCACACACTTGTTCTTTGTGATTATCTAAGATGATTGGCACAAGTCCCATAACTCTGATTTGCTTTTTTACATAATTATGCCCCTTTTTCGACTTAGAAATTCTTGGTTAAGTTTTTGCGTGTAAGCTGGTATCTCCATAACTACTGAAGGGAATGGATTGAAACTTCACACACTTGTTCTCTGTGATTATCTAAGATGATTGGCACAAATCCCATAACTCTGATTTGCTTTTATACATAATTATGCCCCTTTTTCGACTTAGAAATTTTTGGTTAAGTTTTTGCGTGTAAGCTGGTATCTCAATAACTACTAAAGGGAATGGATTGAAACTTCACACTCTTGTTGTCTGTGATTATCTAAGATGATTGGCACAAGTCCCATAACTCTGATTTACTTTTTGGCATAATTATGCTCCTTTTTTGATTCATAAATTCTTGGTTAAGTTTTTGTGTGTAAGCTTGTATCTCCATAACTACTAAAGGGAATGTATTGAAACTTGAAGGGTTTGTACTTTTCCGGACAATTTTATGTATTCATATAGGTAAGCATTATTATACTCAATGAAACACCTTTGTGACAAATTTTCAAATAGTCGAGCGTTACTGTCCTCCGACAGTTCTTGTTTTTCAATTCTGTCTTATCAGATCTACAAATGACATAGTATTACATGTTTGTATACATTATTGAACATTTATTTATTTGTTGACTATGTAGGTATCAGAAGAGAATATGTTTCCAGTGTGTAGTTCAGAAGAAGGTGTAATGTTTACCTGTCAGCTACCTGCGTCCCCAGATCCTAAGAAACAACCCCCATTGATAATGTATTGGGTCATAGGGTGAGTAAATGATGTGTGCCATTTCGTTTTGTTTGCTTTCAAGTTATATACTTTACTATCAATTTTTATATATTAATAATATTTATTTTCTGTACTATCTATAAAAAAACCCCATCTTTCTTAAATGGAAAGGTACAAGGTGCATATATTATATGTGTGTGTAACTTGTACCTTTCCATAAGTAATTAAGATGTTATGTGATCTAGATAGGTATGGTACATGTCTTGGTGTGATTGTGAATTACATTTCTCTCCTGAAAAGTCATCGAAACCCCCCCCCCCCCCCCACCCAAAAAAAAAATAAAAAAATATATATATATATAAAAAAAATAAATAATAATAACTGAACAACTGAACTAAAATTCACATACATATATATAGAATTTTTTGAAGACTCTGTGTATAGTAGAAATTAAAAATAGAAATAGTTCTATCTGTCAGTGATAGATATTCTTCTCAGAAAATGTATAGATTTAACATTCAGATTTTGAACACGTGGAAAATTAATCAATTATTATGTAGTGGTCTAGGAAATTCTCCTGTGTACCAGGAAAATTAAAAGTTACTTAGTTTACATAAATGAGAGTCCTCCAAAATGAAAGTTGAATTTTTTAATTGTTTTATAAGTAATTAATTTTCATATTACCTTGAACTTTCAGACGGAGATTTCCTGATGGTCATGAAATGTTTGTATGTTTAGAAGATGGTGTACCACAGTCCCTGTTAGAACTGGCATTTACCTACAACTTTGGATTGACTTGATCACTACTACATGTAATATATGTGTTATCTAGGAACTGGTGCTCAATGTGAAATGTAACAACTAGTCTTCGTGTAACTATGCTGATAGAAGAGATTAAAGTTAACTAAGTGAATTGTGAGGTATCTGTTACAGGATTTTTATAAAGAGATGGCTGTGAAATATTTGTTTAAATGTAGTCAAAATAATTTTTCAAGCTGCATTTATATGGGGATTGCTGTGAAGGATTCTTTTCAGGAAGAACACAAAGAAGGATAAACAGATGAAAATAACAGATTCAGGTTATAGTTTGGTTTATGTAAATGTAACGTGAAGCTATAGAAAATGGAAGGCCTATATTACTTGTATAAAGTCATTGCCAGTATACACATTTGTGTAGTTTACATACACTATACGTTAGCAATGCAAAAGTGTACTTAAATTTTATGAAAATAATGGAAAAGTATTCCGAATTAAATGTACAGAAAAAATCTTTGAAAAAATTAGCAGGGAAAGAAAACATGCTAAATGATAAGTCCTCTATTTTGATGAAGTTAAACCCTACTGAGTTAAAATAATGATGTATAATCAATTAACTTTGTATGTCTAAATGAAATTATTTGCAAATTTAAACACATAATGTAAGAACATTGCTAAAACCCTTAGCTTTAGAATAATATGTGATTAATTTTCAATTATGCCTTATATATTTCACCTCATGTTCTATGTACAGTGC